AATTGTTTTCTGTGTAGCGTTAACTTTAAGAATGCAACTCACGTGGAAAAAGATAATATTTGTATCTCTGCGAAAAAGAAATGCGATGGAATTACGGACTGCCCTGGGAAGGAAGACGAAGAGAATTGTAAAAGCTGCATGGAGACTTCCTTCACAGACGGGACCTGTCTGCCTAGTCAGTGGTTTTACAATAACGATCGTTATTTTTTCTCACACTCTCATCATCAAGAAGCAATTAATGTAACGAAAATAAAGCTTGTGGAAGAAATTTTAGCGTTGAATCTGGAAGATGAATCAGTAGAAATGAAGATGTTTAATACACAGATTATACATTGTAAGGAATTTAATAATGGAGATTTTGAATATTCAACCGCAGGAAAGGAGAAATTAAAAATTAGTAAAAGTCAAATTTGGTCGGCACGGTGTGTATATTTAAATGGTATGTACACAAAACAACACATTGGATGTTCAGATTTGTCACATTTAGAAAACTGTGAACACTTTATCTGTGGCGATGGTTTGTTCAAATGTAAATGGTCGTTCTGTGTTCCTTATTACCTAGTGAATGACGGGACAATCAACTGCCCACACGGGGACGATGAAACGGTTGAAAGCTACAACAGAATATTCTCAGTACAACTATTCCCTTGTCGCGAGTCATCTGTTCTTGTCCATCCTGCTCACGTCTGTGACGGTATTGACCACTGTCCGACTGGTGATGATGAACGCCATTGTTTCGAGAAATGTCCTTCGGGTTTTACTTGTGCGTTAGGCGTGACAGCAGTCTCCGATCCTAGCAAGATCAACTACATCAATATGTTAGATGACATCGACAACAGAACCAGAGTATTGGTCTTATCTGGTATAAATTTAAGCCGTGTTGTGCTAGGAGAGGTCTTAGCTTTAGAACTTATCGAGCTATATTTATCAAACTGCAGCATAAACAATGAACTAATAGATGCTGTGATGTCTATTTTTAGAACAGGTTTGCACAAGACAATGACTTTGGATCTTAGCTATAATGACATCAATGTAGGTCATTTGCTACATATTCACATGTCTATATATGACGGTAGACTAAGTGTACTAAATTTATCCCACACCGTTTTAACGTCTTTTGATTTATTTCCAGACTATAAAAAACCATTAACGATTGATTTTTCTTATACCCAGCTAAAAACGTTTACCATAATTAAAAGCACACTGTATAAACTCGCCATTAAGTATTTAAACTTCAGCCACACTAAGCTTTCTAATCTAAATTGGACAGAAAAACATCTTGTTATAAACACTTTGGATTTAAGAAATACAAACTTAAATTTTCATTTTAATGACGCATTCGCGCTGAGGAATGTAGAAATAGTGTCGCTTATTTACGGTGATAGTTTCAAATTGTGCTGTAGTACATTTAGCGGAGAAGGCATTTCCTCACACAAATGTTTTGCTCCAAGTGACCCAGTATCCTCCTGTAAAGGTCTAATTGGGGATGATCTAAAACGTTCTTTGCTCTTGTTTCTTGGTATTTTAGGTGTTGTGGGCAACACGGTTTTACTTTCCTTAAAAATGTACAACAATCAAAATAGTTACAAACAAGGGCATGTGTTTTACACAACAAATCTTAACCTTTCTAATTTAATATTGAACGTCTACTTGATTTTTATTTCCGGAGCTGATGTTTACTACGGTGATAGCTACGTGTTGTATGACACTATTTGGCGAGACTGTACACTGTGTAAGGCCGCAGGTTTTCTCGCTACAGTAGCTTTTAAAAGCTCTAGTTGGTTCATTATAATGATAATATTTGAAGTGTATTGCGGTTTGAAATTTAAACCAGCTGACCGATCCCTATCAACATTACGTTTAATATCATCTTATATTTGTGTTTGGTTGATCTGTTTAGCTATCTCATCAATCCCCTTTATGTTTCCAAAATGGTTGATTTACTCATCAAATGCTTTGTGTCTTGGTCTACCTTTCTATATAAATCATCAAGCTGGTTGGGTTTTTTCCTTTATTTTTTTCACTACTCTGCCTTGTCTAGAAATTATAATGTTAGTCATTGGACTTGTTATGGTATTTAAAGCAGTTTTCTTGGACCTCGACACGAATACATCTTCACCTGAGGATGAAGCAAGTATGATGGCTTACGCCAAAACTACCGCAATAGTTGCTGTATCCAACATCGTCTATCATGTCTTTATTTGTATATCTGGTCTTATGGCAGGCGCGGGGCTAGAGATTAGCCACATCACGATTGGATGGCTCACCGTATTTGTGTTCCCGCTGACGTCCGCGCTTAACCCTGTCATTTTCATCTGGCCGTTAATTTTAAAGAAATGGAAACAATTCAAGGATGGGAAAAAATAATAGATCTACATAAATTCTACATAGCTGATATAATATTGGTAAGACTTCTAGTTCTAGCCCGTCTTTAATGTTAAAATTGTTACTTTTAGTTCCTATTAATCTATTACTAGTTTCAGTAAAATCATCTATTTATACTTCCCTTGATTTTCTTAAACATTTGTAAGAGAAAGTTAATAGCATTCTAAACAAGGAAAACTAAACTTATTGCAGGTATATTCATAACATGTTTTCTGGAATTCTTTTTAAAAGCATTTTAAACAATGAAAACGCAACTTATCGAAGGTATTTTTAGGACATGTTTTTCGGAGTTTTTAAAAAAAATGTATTTCATGTATGAGTATGTAATGATGTAACCTTTGTGCTAGTATAATGATATGACTACACTTTGTTTTTCTGTAGCTTTAAATCTTGTGTATTTTATTACTCGTGTATCGTTGTTTCGAAAATATGAATGTTAATTATTGTAAAATTATACTTCAAATTACTATCAACATTTTGTTATGCTTTCCATTTACGTTTATATATATTTACATTTATATTTCCCTGTATGTTTCTATTGTCCTATAATATTTAGTACACACGTTTTATTGTAAAATTTGAACCAAATATAATTGTTGTAAAATAAAACCTTTGATTTATAACCATCAATTATAATTTTTTTTTTCATTTATCTTTGATTTCTCTGTATACCTTTTTGCTTTGATCAATGACAATTGCGGGAAAATGATTTTATTCCGATTAAACATTTATTTCCCAAATCTCACGCCACGTGACACTCGTAGGAGGTGATGAAAGACTAAGTAAGGGCGACTGACCACACCATCCTTTTTTTATGCAACAATCATTAAAACAGACCAACTCTACTTCACATACTCATGAACCATCAGGTATAAAATATTGCTTTTTAAAGTAATTGCTAGTAAAAACCGGCATTCAGAGCCGTCTAGTGTAATCATTAAGCCCACTCCTTAAACATTTGTCAAACGAAGTTGTGGTGAATCTCATCAGTTGTTGAAATAAAGGTTTAAATAACGTTCAGAGCATAATGTGAATAGAAACATTGAATTCAGGGAGCTGCATCAATGGAGACGTTTTCCCGCGGAAGATTGACCAAAGTCAGCTAGCAAAAATACTTAATCTCGATTCATTTCATTACTTGCTGTAACGATTGGTCTATATTATAAACTTTCTATGTAATCCAATAAAGCTGTTTCTGATCAATTATACTATTAGAGATAATTGGCACGTTATCGACCTAATTACCGAGCGTTCATTAAAAACACATTGAACACTTTTGTTCCATACACATCATTTAAAGGAACACCTTAAACTTTTCGCGTCCTGGTTCAAGTTAGTAGAACGTTATTGAGTCCACGTAAGGGAAGTTAAAGGGGCATAATGGTGACCACACTGTCCCTTCATATGCCGAAATCACAGGTAAACACTAATTCACTTGCACCATTGACCACCAGGGTTGAAAAGGGGAACTACTAGCGTCAAAACTAAAACGTATGTTTATTCTCCCTTGCCTGAGAAAAATCAAATGTCTCTTTTGTATTAACCGCCTCGTCATTCTACTCTTTCCAGTCATACTCAGCCTAAACACATCAATCAAACTTCTTCTTCTTCGTTCTTAATTTTTTAGTGTTGGAAGGGATCGAGTCTTATCTGCCAAAGGGTTTGAACTCGAGACTTTTTCGAATTTGTCAACCATGAGCTTTTGCCGACTCGACCACAATTAAGGATACGTGTCAACTGGTTATGCGCCATTGACTCAGATTTCAGCCTGCTTTTCTTTTTGGATTTGCTTCCATAGCCTTTGTCCAACCAAGAACAAACTACAAGGCAGCAGTTGTTTGATTTTGGAGTTGTCTCTCCTAGAAGAGTGGCTGTCCCAGCTAACGAGCCGCTTCTGCCCGAGGGTTCGAACCATGAGCTTTACCGACTCGACCAAGCCGACCCCTATCCATCAAACAAATATATCAAAGCAAAGTGAATTCTGTCACACTGCTGCCTGTCATCACACATAGAATTAGATGGGGTACTTGCAGGAAGGTTTCAGATCTATTGTTCTTTCTGATAAACAGCACTTAACTCCCATTGGGTATAATGATTTGAATAATTGTTAGATAAAAAAATAAACGTGCACTGGTTAAAAAAAAATTTAAAATCACACAAAGAAACCACATGAAAACATAACAGTAATAAAGCCATAGGATTGAGTGAACAAATCAAGGTCAGATTTATTTAAATGTTTACATGCTGTTGCTATAACTGCAATTATAACTAGACAGATCAAATGAATATTTTATGAATGATTTCTCATTGAGAAAATAGACTGTTTACTAGTAAACTAGTCTGGAAAAAAAATTGAAATAAAAGGCTGATAATAATTAGTTAATTTAATTAATGTAATATTAATGCACCAAAGATGATACACAGATCAACATTATAATAGTGTTTTAGATGGATTTCTGCTTTACTAATTATGCAACTGTTTATAATTAATTCAAAGTAAATACCTTTAACATAAAGATATTTAATGCATAAGACAAAATTCATGAAATCTTTTACTACAATTTCTTAGAGATAACACTAGATTTTTCAAAAAACTCAAATATGTAATGTTAAAATATACAAGCATACTGTATAAATGTTATTTAACAGAATATGACAATATCTATAACTCTAAAATGAAAATCAGAATAAATTTTTCATTTAGTCCAAACTACAAACTTATCCACATAAAAAAAAACAACTGTAAATAGTTAAAGTTTCACATCATCATTTAAAAATAAAGTAATATTTTTATTAAATTTAAAATAAATAAAACAAACATGATAACCAAAGACAAAAATGGACAACAAAACATTGAGCCTCAGTTATAAAAATTGTATGTTACAAACACAGGAGTAAAAAAAAAACCCAAATGTTTAGTGCTACGGCCCCACCCATAATAAACAATGAGCCCTTTTACTATTTCATACTATGATTTCAGACTAAACAATGGGCCCCCTTTACTATTTCATGCTATTTTCAAACTAAACAATGGGCTTCTCTTTACAAATGTTTCATACTATAACCACAAACATACTTAACATATTTAACAAAAGTTTAATGCTACTAAACAATGGGCCCCACTTTTATAAATATTTCACCCCTGCCATTTACTAAACAACAGATCTTTCATTTACAAATGTTTCATAGACAGTGCCAAAACAACTAGTTAAATATTAATGGCCTCTGGAAAAGAGTAAAACTACACACAACAAAACCATGCCAAAAAAAAAGCCTCAAAGAAAAACACTCATGCAAATCCCCATCCTATCCCATGCAAAAGAAAAACATCCATGCACATGCCCCATCCTAAAGGAAAACATCCATGCACATTCCCATCTTAACTTCATCTTCCAACTTCTGTAGCTTGGCGAAGGTCAGGAAAATTTGTTCCAATGTAGTCTCGTGGACAGAGTAGTCTTCAACGTTCAAGTTCTTCTTACAGTCCTCCATGATCTGGAAGACATCGGCCACTTCGATGTTGGTGTCTGACACTTGCAGGTGGATGTAGCCCAGGTGGTCATCAAACACCTGAAAGTACATAACGCAGTGGTTAACAAATACCTGAAATTACATGACACAGAGGTCAGCAAATACCTGAAATTACATAACACAGTGGTTAACCAATACCTGAAATTACATAACGCAGTTGTCAGCAAATACCTGAAACTACATAACACAGATGGTTAACAAATACCTGAAATTACATAACGCAGTTGTCAGCAAATACCTGAAATTAAATAATGCAGTGGTCAGCAAATACCAAAAATTACTTAACACAGATGGTCATCTAATACCTGAAATTACATAACCCTTAGGTCAACAAATACCTGAAATTACATAACCCAAGGTAATCAATACCTGAAATTACATAACCCAAGGACATCAAATACCTGAAATTATATAACACAGAGGTCATCAAATACCTGAAATTATATAACACAGAGGTCATCATATATCTGAAATTATATAACACAGAGGTCATCAAATATCTAAAATTATATAACACAGAGGTCATCATATATCTGAAATTATATAACACAGAGGTCATCCTATATCTGAAATTATATAACACAAAGGTCATCATATATCTGAAATTATATAACACAGAGGTCATCAAATATCTGAAGTTATATAACACAGTGGTCATCAAATACCTAAAATTACATAACACAAAGGTCATCAAATAAATAAGATATCCCAGGATGTCATCAACTTGATCAAAGTATATGAAAAAATATTTAAATGAAGTACAATAACATATTGCAAATGTATGTAGTCCAAATGGTAACTGAATTTCTCTGCCAGTGCAACAGATTTAATAAAACATAATATATTTTCAAAAGTCAAATGTATATAAATATAATCAGTTTTAAATCCCATATTATCTAAAATAAAAAACTTCTTGAATGCTATGACTGCTGACCATCTAATACTTTCATATACAGTTATTCTTCTTCCTCTTTATTCTTAATTGTAATGATGAACAAGATTTCCTCAGCACAAAGGTATTACTAGTCAATCTGTTATGAGCCATGTAGACAGATGACTTTCATTTCAGCCTGCTTTTCTCTTTGGATTTACTTCCATAACCTTTGTCCAATCAAGGCAGCAGTTATTTGATTTTAGAGTTTTCTTTCCTAGATGTGTTGCTCTCTCTACCTATTAAGCCTCATCTGCACAGGGGTTTGATCTCTGGACTTTTTGGTTTAGCCACCATGAGCTTAACTGACTTGACCATGCAAACTCCTTATGCAGACATTGATGATACTCTGATTTGGTGACTTTAATAAAAAAAAAAAAAACTTACAGTAGTGTCTGCAGCAAATCTCTGAATATATTCCACAACAGGCTCTGTCTTTGCTGTGAATCCATTGGGCAGTGTCCCCATCTTGATAATCAATGTATATCCTTGGCCATATTTGTTTTTCAAATGCTGAGGGCTCCCAATGCAAGTGAATCTTCCCTGCAACATTATGGCTAGCCTAGTGCAGACCGCATCACACTCTTCCATGCTAGAAAATACAAGTGAATCCATAAAAAAATGTGCTGAAAAAAGATGTAGAGTTTTAATGTGTTTAACTAAGCTCGCAGTATGGAGTGGTAAGGTGATAGAGCGCTCAGCTGCACAGAAACAAGAGAACTCTACTTCACTTGCCTTATAGACCGTCAGATTTGAAAAGGGAACTTTACTTTTATCCAGCTCTGATAGGTACGTGACTCACATTAGGGAAAGTGAGGACTGCCGGGCATAGTGCTGACCACACTATCCCTTCAAAAACTGTTGTCACTGAAACTCTACTTCAATTGTAAGATTTGAAAGGGCACTACTTTATTTTTACATGATGCACGCCACTCTATTAGAACTAGGTTGAATACATACTCAAGCTAAGAACAGCCTGTATCTTGTATATTTTGGATAAGCTTTCAAGTGTCACTTAAATTATTAACTAATTCTACTAGCATTACCTGTGTGATGAGAGAACCAAAGTTCGTCCACAGTCTCTAATTTTGGTGAGAACATTCCACATCTGACGCCTGGATTTGGGATCCATCCCAGTGGATGGCTCATCCAGAAAGATAAATGGTGGATCTCCCACTAAAGCCATTGCCAGACTGAGCTTTCTTTTGTTACCACCACTGTGGACAACATGAGTTGATGCTAAATAAGGTTACACAGTACCTCACTGCCAGATACATTTACAGGATATATTGCCAGATAAAGATAGAAAGTATGTTGCCAGATAAGCTTACTGAGGAAGCGGCCAGAAAAATTACAGAGTTTGTTAATAAGTTAACAGAATATGTCACAGGATAATTTTAGAAAGTATGTTGCCAGATAAGCTAACAAAAGAACCAGAGAAAATTACAGAGTTTATTACTAGATAAGTTTACACAGAATGTTGACAGATAATAAAGTATGGTATAGAAGAGGCTATAAGAGACAAACTAGTACCTGTAGGATCCACAGATTTTATTAGCATGTGGCTCTAGCGTGACCATCTCAATCAAGTTGCTCACCACATCAGGGATGTTGCCCTCAGGTATGCCTCTCAGCCTAGCATACATCGTCAGGGTTTCCACGGCGGTCAGTTCTTCAATAAGTGCATCAGACTGCGGGCAGTATCCAATCTCACGTTGTACCTATAGGAGAGTAAGTGCTAATGTAACATCTGTGTGAGTAGAAATATTACATCTGTGTGAGTGGAAAAATCTGTGGTGTGCAGTAATATTACATCTGTGTAAGTGGGAATATTACATCTGTGGTAAGTGATAATATTACATCTGTGTAAGCAGAAAAATAACATCTGTGGTAGTGGTAATATTACATCTTGTTAGTGAAAATATTAATTCTGTGGTAAGTGGAGATTTTACATCTGCGCTATTGAAAGTATTTCATCTGGTAAGCAAAAATATAACATCTTTGGTAAGTGGAAATATTACATCTGTTCTGCGTAACTAAAGGTATTGCATATACATAAGTAAAAATTGACATCTGTGGTAAAAGAAATATTAACTTTGTGTAAGTTAAATTATTACATCTGTATAAATGGAAATATTACAACTGTGTAAATGGAAATATTACAACTGTGTAAATGGAGATTTCACAACTGTGTAAATGAAAGTGTTACACCTGGGGTCAGTGGTAGAGTGTGATGTAGAGTTCTAGCCTTCATAAAGATACAAACAGTACTATAAAAATTCTATAAAATGACTGATAAAACTATATAAAACTTTTACATAAGGATGAAAAAAAATATAGTGGACCTATTTATTAAGTCTAATGAAAAATGTATCTTCCTTACTGAGCGCAGACTAGACTGTACATCGTATCCTTTCAAATAAGCATTCCCCTCAGTGACAGACGTCTCCCCAGTCAGCATTTTAAATGTGGTTGTCTTCCCCGCCCCACTCTGTCCCAGCAGACCAAAACACTCCTTCTCTGGCACGCCCACACTGATATGTTTGACCGCTGGGAAACCATCGTATTTCTTGCACAGGTTGTACAGGATCAAAGAGTCTGAAAGATGTAAGCATTAAAAATAAGTAAAGTTTCACTTTCAAACCTGACGGTCTATGGGGCAAGTGAAGTAGAGTTCACTTGTTTCTGTGACCTCGGCATATGAAGAGATAGTGTGGTCAGCACTATGTCCAGCCGCTTTTACTTTCCCTAACGTGAGTTAGGTACCCATCAGAGTTGGGTGGACTCAGGGACAGTCTACTGACTTGAACCCGGGTTCGAACTCAAGACTTACAGGTTAGCAGTCCAGCTCTCTACCGCTAGACCAGTCCGTCCAATCATACATTTTAGAGTAGATGGTAGATTAATGTTTAAAATGAGGGAAAGAAGATGTTTTAGATAGGGCACACAAGCTGCGCAGACCACCTACCAATATCACCAGGCAAACACTGAAAAGAAAGCGCAAAAGAGGTCGACCAAGTAACACCTGGAGATGGGACCTTGAAGAGGAAACCACAAAGATGGGCTTCACCACCCAGGCAGTGATGATTATTATTCTAGCTAACTGTTTAGTTTGTTTTAATATTTTGTTGATATTAATTGGGTGCCATTCATTTATTATAGTTCAGTTCACCTGGCCTAGAAGCTAGCATTCAACACAAACCTCAAACTGTATTCAAATTAGGTTGTGTTATTAAAAGCTTGCAACAAACATGCATAACAGGAAAATACAGATAGTAAAAAATGGAGAATGGACTTGCTGGAAACATAACCAAGTTGTCAGCGTGAATATAACTGAAGAGTTAAAATTATAAATACTAAGATCTATTTTATTTTGTGAGATTATTGGATAATTTTTACCATCAACCAACTTATACCTTTTGATTTATTTGTTTAATTAGAAAAGGTAAAAAAATGTCACCTGTTTTATAAAGTTCCTCTAAAGGTGTGGTCAAGATTCTCTTTTTCTCTGCCACTACATCATCCTCATCATCACCCATGCTTAGAGTTTTCTTTAAATCAAGTGCTCTTTTATTTTTACACCATTTACTGGGGACATGGACAATAATTCATTGCTATGGCGATTTTGCAATTATCTTAACACTTCACAGCATTATTTTATTTCTCATGATGCACAACATATTGATCAGTTATATAATTATGTTACAAGAAATTATCCCCGACATTACAATTATCAACAAAAAATTTATTTCTACATTAGTTACTTGAGGCTTGGCAATTTTTCGATGTTTGAACACAAACTTTTCTTAGACTCAACTTTTTTCTCCATCATCAACATTTTTTCCCCCATGCTTCAAATGAAGTAGAGTTCATCTGTTTCAAAGACCTCATGATATGATGGGTTAATGTAGTCAACAATGTGCCCAGCTGCTTTTGCTTTCCCTAACATCAGTTAGGTACCCATTGGAGCTAGATGGACTCTGGAGCTTTCTACTGACTTGAACCTGGATTCAAACTCGAGAATTCCAAGTTAGCAGTCAAGCTCTCTATATTCCGCCACGCTGTCCCATATTACTCAGCTTAGATTAGCAGATGCACGATCATTTTTTATTACTAAATTACAGCTTTCTAAATAAAAAAATAAAAAACTCAATTACACCAACTTCCCTTTAATATTAAATTACAGCCTTCTAAATAAATAAAAAATAAAAAAACTCAACTTACACCAACTTCCCCTTTAATATTAAATTACAGCCTTCTAAATAAATAAAAAATAAAAAAAAAACTCAACTTACGCCAACTTCCCCTTAATATCAAATTCAATAGCTAGCACCAGCAAGCTGAAGAATATCCCTTGTAAGACCATGAAGGCCAAGTACCTCCCTATACCCTTTTTGTTATCAAAATCCAAATAGGTTTTCAACCGAATGATACATTTACTGTCTGGTATAGAGGAGTAGCAAAGTTCTGGAGATGGAAAAAAAATAATTTAGAAACACAAAAGTTGTATTAATGTTAACTCCTATATGCTTTACCTCCCCTGTTAACAACCTAAATCAGTGGTGGACCTATCACAGCTAAAGAACCACGAGGACATCCAAAACAGCTGCAGAACCACAAATACACCATTTAAAGATGGGAACAACAAATACACCATTTAAAGATGGGGACCACAAATACACCATTTAAAGATGGGGACCACAAATACACCATTTAAAGATGGGAACCACAAATACACCATTTAAAGCTGGGATCCACAAATATATCATTTAAAGATGGGGACCACAAATACACCATTTAAAGATGGGGACCACACATACACCATTTAAAGCTGGGGACCACAAATACACCATTTAAAGATGGGAACCACAAATACACCATTTAAAGATGGGAACCACAAGAACATCCATTACACCTGGGGAACTACAAGAACATCCATTACACCTGGGGAACTACAAGAACATCCATTACACCTGGGGAACTACAAGAACATCCATTACACCTGGGGAACTACAAGAACATCCATTACACCTGGGGAACTACAAGAACATCCATTACACCTGGGGAACTAAAAGAACATCCATTACACCTGGGGAACTACAAGAACATCCATTACACCTGGGGAACTACAAGAACATCCATTACACCTGGGGAACTACAAGAACATCCATTACACCTGGGGAACTACAAGAACATCCATTACACCTGGGGAACTACAAGAACATCCATTACACCTGGGGAACTACAAGAACATCCATTACACCTGGGGAACTACAAGAACATCCATTACACCTGGGGAACTAAAAGAACATCCATTACACCTGGGGAACTACAAGAACATCCATTACACCTGGGGAACTACAAGAACATCCATTACACCTGGGGAACTACAAGAACATCCATTACACCTGGGGAACTACAAGAACATCCATTACACCTGGGGAACTACAAGAACATCCATTACACCTGGGGAACTACAAGAACATCCATTACACATGGGGAACTACAAGAACATCCATTACACCTGGGGAACTACAAGAACATCCATTACACCTGGGGAACTACAAGAACATCCATTACACCTGGGGAACTACAAGAACATCCATTACACCTGGGAAACGACAAGGACACCCATTACAGAAAGGACACCTATTACACTCGGGGAACCCCCGGGACACCCACAAGAGTTACACCATAACAATATGTGCATAAATCCTGATGATCACCTGGGTGATCCATACAGCATATGGAAGAGATCCCATTGTTACAGTCCATGCGAAAAGCATAGCACTCTTTCACAGAGATGTATCTGGTCAGTATGAAGCCGAAGCACTGGGACAGGTTGAATCCAGGGAACAATACAGTGAACACATAGTTCAAGGTCTCACCAATCTCTTTATGCTGAGATGTGGGCTTGGCAAATTCAAACACAAGAATGTCACTCAGAAGAACTGAAAGGAATGTTATCATACTCATCACTTCTGGATTACGAACTTTATCATACATATAACTTCTGGATTATGAACGTTATCATTCATATCACTTCTGGATTATGAACGTTATCATACATATCACTTCTGGATTATGAACGTTATCATACATATCACTTCTGGATTATGAACATTAACATACATATCACTTCTGGATTATGAATGTTATCATACATATCACTTCTGGATTATGAATGTTATCATACATATCACTTCTGGATTATGAACGTTATCATACGTAACTTCTGAATTACATGTTACAGATTTATATCTGCTGGTTCAAGGTTGCATGCATCATATGTGTCTTGTGTTTAAAATACTTGTATGTCAAATATGTATGTGCTATGTAAAAGCAAGGTTTTCAAACTAGCATCATCAGTTTTTAAAATAAGTATGTGCCACATAATATAAATGTTTTGGGAATAAGAAAATGAATTTTCAAACTGGCATACGTAGTATTTAAAATAAGTATATGTTACTTATTAGAATTGTTTTGGGAATAAATATCCAGGCATTCCTCTTAAGTTTTCTGCAAATGTTAAAATAAGTGTGTTATTAATTGTAAGTAAGGTTTTCAATTAATTTTTTATAATTTTAATTTCTGAGAATTAACAGCTGACTTTGTATTTGAAATTAGTGTGTGGCACAAACTAGAAATATTTTTAAAATATGTTTCTATTAATATCTCTAAAGTTTTAAATTTCTAATAGTTGAATTTGTATTTGAAATAAGTATTTATCATAATACACAAAAAGAGCATTTTTTGGGAATAACTATCCAAGAATAGCTCAAATTTTATTAGTAAATTATTTTATAATTTAAAACAATTGACAATATCATGTTATCATTCTCAATGAAAAATAACTCAGTGTTTTAAATATCTCACAGTAATAGCAAAAAAAAAATTATTTTAAAAACTAAAAAAAAAAAAAAAAAAAAAAAAAAAAAAAAAAAATAACAATTACAACTGTTATGCCAGAACGGAGATTTTAAAATAAAGAAAAGTAATTCAAAAACATAAAAACTAATTAAATTAAATTTTAAAAAAAACCCAGCAGATGAACAAAAATTGCAACTCAAACAAAAAAAAAAAACAACAAAACAAAAAAAAACCACAGTCCTACCAGTGAATAGGTTTAAAATAATTGTAGTAGCCAGTCCCGCTGATGGGGTTTTAAAGCAGAAATGAAATGTGTAAATGCATGGCAGTATAGCCCACACATAGGTGCCAATGACCACAACCACCAGCACCCAGTTGCCTTCGTCCAGGAAGGATTTGATGCTCAGGATAAAGAAGGTGACCAACAGCAACATGGTGGGGACGATGAAGCTCACAGCATCCCAGAACAGGATGGACAGCCAGTAGATTAGAGTACTCACACCAAATATGGACTGCATGTGTTTCACACCGCTCTGGTAAAGTAAACAATATGTATACATTTGAATGAAGCATTAACCCAAAAAGAAAAGCACCCTGAAATTGGAGTCAATGCCCGCATAACAAGTTGACACATACTACTTAATTGTGTTGGAGGGAATCCTTTCCAACACTAGAATTAAGAACAAAAAAGAAGAAGAAAACAGAAGCATTTTTTCAATTCAAGAATGTTTTTTGATTAAAATTGTTTTTTATATTGTATTCTTTACTGAAAAGATGTCTTACGCACATTTTGTATATGCAGCTATTTTACAAGGTTTTTTTATGTGGCTATTTGATTCAAATAATTTTTTATTTTGTTTTCTTTAACTGAAAAGATGTCTCACATACATTTTGTATACGAGGCTATTTGAAACTGTAAAGACTTCTTACAAGCATTTTGTTTATGTGGCATTCGATTAAAAAAAATATGTAATTTTGTATTCTTAAACTGAAATGATGTCTTACAATAAGCATTTTTGTCACAAATTTTTTACATTCTTATACTATAGATGCCTTTCAAGCATTTTGTATTATGTAGCTATTTGATTTAAACATTTTTTTTAACCAGCAACCCAGAGAAGAACAGAAAGTGAAAAAAGTCTTCACTGTTTTTTTGATAATCCAACAAATTACAACAGCCTCTAGCTAAACCAAAAAATAACTGCGACAAATAATTTCACAATCAATCAGTGTAAATAAATTGAATGCTAAAATACATAGGGTTTACTAAAAACATATTTGATATTAAATAAATAAATTGGGTTTTAGAAGTATATATATATATATATATATATATATATATATATATATATATATATATATATTTTTTTTTTTTTTTTTTAATATATATGTATATACACATAGTATAGGCCTACATATTCTACTGCCATTACTTAATAGGGGATACTTCAACTGTATAAAAGACACTTACTTTTTTCTCCCTCAAAACGTAATGTATTGTTATGGATGAAAACAGCGTCATCCCTATGCCAATAAACATGCCAACAAAGAACCCCGAGCGTGCATGATCAAACACGACCTGCTGCAGGTCGACCTCCCCCAGTTTTTCTAGTGGCAACAATCCCATGGTGATGTGGTAGGATGGGCCTAATCTCTGCTTGATTACCGCTTTAAATATCAAGTCTATCTGTAGAGAAGATATGTCATTTCTTAGTTCAAGGTGCGTTTAAGGAATTGATGCCAGAATTTTATCAAAGGTGGTGACAAACATAAATATTTAGATTTTTTAAAAAGGCCAAACTACTTTTTAATTAAAAAAAAAAAAAAAACTGGTCCAGATATTATAGACTCAAGTGTTTAATAATTTTAAGTAAAGAAGTTACACTTTCACACCTGGGGGTCAATATGGAAAATGAAGTAGAGTTCACCTGTTTCTGTGACTTTGGCATATGAAAAGATAGTGTGGTCTGTACTATGCTCAGTCGACTTTACTTTCTCTAATATAAATATATGATGGGTGGCATCAGGGATGTCCTACAGACTCTAACTCCTGATCTGGACTTGAGACTATTGAATTAGTATTCTTAAAAACAACTGACCACTCTGCTTCATTTAACATGTGGAGCTAAATATATTAGTTGTAAAAAACACTTAAGATTTCACTGCATAATTTTATGAAAAAAAAGTCAGTTACTCTTTTTCTAAATGCTTATTTTTGTTTTCTGTGAAACCATTGTATTAAAAAAAAAAGTAGCAATATAAAATATATAATATTATAAAACACTTAATACTTAAAAAGCAAGCAGTGAATCAAAATTAGACTCTAATGATTTCCATACATAGTATCCTATATTAAGAATGTGTACAAATAAGTATGGGGATTAACTTCTTTATTTGATAGAACTTACTGAAACAAACAAGGAGTGGAATGGCTGTCCATTGTATAAAGCAATCGCTCTAAGTGTTCTGTTGAAAACAAACTCAGCACCCAGGATATAGCGATGATCAAATCCGACTGGTCCCACTTGGTAGCGAGATGTTAACAAAAAAGAATCTAAGCTATTACCCTAGAAATTTAAAATCAATTAAAGACCAGTAATAATTAAAATGAATAGATATGTAAAAATCAAGGAAATTTTCAAGTCCTAAAAAATCAAAACAATGTAAAACCTTAAAAAAATATTTGTTTTAGACCTAAATAATTAATAAAAATTTGTTGAAAATAAAAAAAAATCTGTGGTAAAAAGCTTTTATATATGCAAAAAAAAAAAAAATGAATGTCTTTAAGTATAGAATACATTAATGCAACACTATTTAAATAACAACATAGAAACACTTGGATCACAATGTCAACTTTAGTAAAGGTATTAATTAAATCATATAACAACCATACCTGTCATTATAGTTATTTAAATACAGGTGCATTATTATCATCTTTAATTAAAGAAATTTTATTTTTTTCTTTGTATTAGTGCATATAAAAAAGCTTGTTAAAAAATACTATTTAAATTTTAAAAGAAACGAATAGCTGCACATCTTCACCATAAAGAATAACGCAAAATATAGATGCGAACCATATGTGTATAATAGCGCTAAAAATGTGTGCTTTAATTGGGAATCTTTAATCTATTTAAAAAAACATTTAATTGAACATCGGGTCTTGATGTGACACGCTTGAGTGGAACCCAGCAGGAAGGTAAAAGAGAGGGCCCAAGACAGACTTGAAAGCGGAGTCTTCTTGACAAAATAAAGGAAGCTAGGATGACTTGGGAGACTGCAAAATCAATAGCCACCAAGAAAGGTTATAGTTGAGGCCCTATGCCTCACAAGGAGTAAGAAGATTAAGTCGTCTTGATCCACATGCACAATTGTAAAAAAAAAAGATTTTGAGAGAAGTGGTCAAAATTGTCTTGGGCACAAAAGGGAAAAGATGGTGATACATAAATTGCATAAATAATAAAGTGTACGAGAGTAAAGTAAGTCCATTAGAAAAAAGTGAATTAGAAAAATTATAGAATAAGGTAACTTGGGTTTGAATTAAATAATCAATCAAAGATATGCAAAGGATTAGGATAAAGTGAATTAGAAAAATGATAGAATGGAGTAATTAGGGTATGAATTAAATAAACAGACATAGACATGCTATAGAACGAAGTGACTTAAACATGCATTACAATAAAGTAGTTGTATATCATAAGAATGTGACTTGGACAATGTTTCAGAATAATATGACTGAAATTTATGAAAGAACAATGAGCATCAAAGCCTGTCAGAGTACACTTTAGAAAGTATAATAAGTATTGGAGAAATGTATAAACTATTAGACCAATAAAAAACAAATTTTAGTTAAAAAAGATAATAAAACTGAAGACATTCATATCTAAAAACAATATAAATATCAAAACTGAGTGGTTTCCCAGAAGGTATTGAGTTACTTGACAAACAAACAAAGCCAATTATAGACTTAAACATGTATTTGAATAGAGTGGCTTAATTATAATGAATTAGATTTAAATATCTTCGCCAAGCTATAGAACAGCGTGGCAATGGAACCAACTCAACCAAATGTAGCAGAAGAATTTTAACAACCATCCATTAACTATCACACTCACGGTTTCTGTGATATCCTTCACAATCGCAGTCCCGGTTAGCGTCTTATACTCTTCCTTAAAGTGCTCAGTCTGCTTGTCACTGGTCACTGGCACCACGATGCCATTGCCATACATCTTGATGTCCAGCATCAGCAAAGGGTCTATTTTCTTGCTGAAGCCAAAAGCTTTGTCTGTCACGTAGAAGAGCAAGACGAGCATGGAGGGAATAGTGTAGCTCAGCAGAGTGGAAATGCGCTGTTTCTTTGCCACCATGAAACGTTTGATAACCAAAGCCTTAAACTGTTGTATTAAGAGGGTGATGCCGCTGTTCAAAGTGAATCCTGAATTGAAGTCTGGAACAATTGGACAGCCTATATTATTAATGTTCTTAGGGGGGGGGGGTCATCCATAACAAACGTCACATTCCGTAATATTGTGACAATGTGTGATGAGGGGGTGGGGGTCAGATGGTGGGATGTCACACTTTTGCAATGTAAAAAGTAATGTTAGAAAATTTTGTTTTAGAAAAAATATTTTATTAAATTTTAATAATATAAATTGATTAAAATACTCTAAGTTAACCAAGCACAGTCAAGATTTTAGAAAAACAAAACAAAATTGATGTTTTAAGAAAACTGAGCAGGGTTGTTGTAGGCTCAGGTGTGACTTTCTATGTTCATGTGTGACAGAGGGGTGGGGGAGGTAAAAATCATCAAAAAAAATCCATGATGTCACTTAAACTACAAGCCAGTTTTCAAATTAAAATTCAACCATTTTATTCGAATAATAATTTTTATAAAGCTAAGAGTGAGATTATAATTGCTATAAATGCAAACTGACTAAGTGTGACATGTGATATTACTAGGCCAAATACCTTTCTATAAAGAAAGAATAAACCTGAAAATGGTACTAAAGTACTAAGAGCAACAGTTTATCAATGCAGTATGTGTCAAGATTAAGATTCTATTGTTAGGGTTAGGCTGCACAGTTGGTAATAGGTTAAAGTAGTGAAACCAGAAAAAAAAAATGCTTTTATTTTGTTTTGTTTTTAGATGCAGCAAAGAAAAAAAAAACGGAAGAAAAAAAACTAACTACATATTTGAATTAAATACCTAAAACATTTGTCTTGTCCCCTAGTGTATTTCCAACAAAACTCATCTTTGCTGATTCTACAGCCATTACATCAGACTCTTCTTCTGACCTGAAAAGTATGTAAGAGTTGGGACTGATATAAACTAAGTAAGAAGACACATATATAGACATACAAAACAGTTGACGAGACATACCAATCTCATCAGACCTGAAAAGTATGTGAGAGTTGGGACTGATATAAACTAAGTGAGAAGACACATATAGACACATACAAAACAGTTGAGTAGACATACCAATCTCATCAGACCTGAAAAGTTTGTAAGGGTTGGTACTAAATGTAAACTAAGTGAGAAGACACATATTGTTGCATTACTTAAACAGAGATATGCTTTGCAAAAAAAGAACAAAGTGACATGGAACACTTTTTTGTTATTTGAAAACTTTTACAAATGAGTAAGATACAGAAGTACCATTCAAAAACAGATTCAATAAATCAAAAATAAATTTCATTTTTAGAGAAGTAGACTTACTTAAGAAAAACCTCTTCCATTGTTGTGGCTGAGGTTCCAAAGCTCATAATATTCAGCATTTTTTTCTTGGCGTTCAAACTTCTGAACAACTGCGGAAAATTTTCACACTCTGTTTCAGGGAGGAGGTAGGAGATTTCCATACTGACGACAGACTCCACCACAGCAAGGGGGATGTGTGAGACAATCTCCTGGGTGAGCAAGTCAATGTCGCAGTTAGCTCCCTTCACAATAACCAGATGGTATCCTGTACCTGTGGTGATAAAAAAAAATATAACGGTTTTGTATTTGATACAACATTCATTCAAGTCTGGAATATTTTGTTCGGGGGTGTAATGGGATACCGACTTGGTTTATTCATCTTTATCTAGACTTTAGGATGTGATTAAGTTAAAATATGCTCCTATGGGAGATGTGTAGTGACAAGAAAAAGTGGCATATGAAATAAACAAAATGAAATTAGAGAGCAAAATTGCCACGGATCAGTGGAGAAAGACGTTTATTTCTTTGCATTCTTACATTGTTATTAAACAATATTTTTCTTACTAAAAAAAAAGGAACAAAAACAACTGGGGAGTCATTTTGGGGACTGAAACGGATTAATGGAGTTTTGATAAATTAACTTGCTTGAGGTTTGATTAATTTAACATGCGAGCACTCATACCTTGAGGTTTCACTATATACACATACACATATATTTATATACATGTCAAAGTATGCTGCTATCTACTAACCATAAAGTTTCTTCAGAAACATTGATGTCCCACAGCACTGGACGCTACCCCTTGCCATTATAGCAATGCGGTCGCCCAGGGAATCCGCTTCATCCATGTAGTGGGTACTCAGGATGATTGTTCGGCCAGCGCGGTTGTTCTGTACCACGTCCCACATGCGGCGCCGCGTTGATGGGTCCATGCCAGATGATGGCTCATCCAGGAAGACAATCTACATAATTACTTTAAAATAAACCTTGTTGCTTTGATTTATGTACAATAACTAGAGGGAAGGGTAATGGCTACTGTGAGGCAGAGTTTCTTTTTCTCTGATTTTGGTAGTCCTGCCACCAATAGAAGCTTGAGTGTGGGATGTTATTGTTTACTTGACAACTTAGTTTTCCATTAGGGATAAAGACTCTTTCATTTGTAACCTCCCATGAGAGCTACGGCAATGGTAGAGAAAGTCTTGCAGCTGATAGAGAAAGCCTTACAGCTGATAGAGAAAGTCTTGCAGCTGATAGAGAAAGTTTTGCAGCTGATAGAGAAAGCCTTACAGCTGATAGAGAAAGCCTTACAGCTGATAGAGAAAGCCTTACAGCTGATAGAGAAAGCCTTACAGCTGATAGAGAAAGTCTTGCAGCTGATAGAGAAAGTTTTGCAGCTGATAGAGAAAGCCTTACAGCTGATAGAGAAAGCCTTACAGCTGATAGAGAAAGCCTTACAGCTGATAGAGAAAGTCTTGCAGCTGATAGAGAAAGCCTTACAGCTGATAGAGAAAGTCTTGCAGCTGATAGAGAAAGCCGTACCACTGAGAGAAAACCTTGCCACTGAAAGAGAAAGGCTTGCCACTGATAAAGAAATCCTTGCAACTTACTTTAGATCCCCCATGAGAACTGTGGTCACTGATAGAGAAAGAAATGCCATTGATAGATAAAGACTTGAGAGAAATCCTTGACACAGACAGAGAAATCCTTGCCACTGATAGATAAAGCCTTGCCACTTACTTTAGATCCCCCCATGAGAGCTGTGGCCACTGATAGAGAAAGCCGAACCACTTAATTTAGATCCCCCCATGAGAGCTGTGGCCACTGATAAAGAAAGCCTTGCCACTTACTTTAGATCCCCCCATGAGAGCTGTGGCCACTGATAGAGAAAGCCTAACCACTTACTTTAGATCCCCCCATGAGAGCTATGGCCACTGATAAAGAAAACTTTGCCACTGAAAAAGAAAGGCTTGCCACTAATAGAGAAAGCCTTGCCTCTTAATTTAGATCCCCCCATGAGAGCTATGGCCACTCATAAAGATGAGCCTTGCCACTTACTTTAGATCCCCCCATGAGAGCTATGGCCACTGATAGAGAAAGCCTTGCCACTTACTTTAGATCCCCCCATGAGAGCTATGGCCACTGATAAAGAAAGCCTTGCCACTTACTTTAGAACCCCCATGAGAGCTGTGGCCACTGACAGAGAAAGCCTTGCCACTTACTTTAGATCCCCCCATGAGAGCTATGGCGACTGACAGACATCTCTTCTGTCCACCAGACAAACTGTTCACAACTGCATTCTGTTTGTGCTCCAGCCCCAAATCTCTCAACATCTCTTTCATTTCCTTCTTCAGATCAGCAGATTTGTAACCTTTCATCTAAACATATCAAAACAAGTATTGAATTCACAAATTATGAATTGCTGATAAGCAGAAAATAAAACAACTAGATGGCGGCGTATCAAAACAAGTATTTATTAACTAAAATGTTGAACTAAAAAAAGTTATCAATTCAAAATATCTTAAAAATAATTCACAAAATGTTGGATTGGATAAAACGTTTCAATTCTAAATACATCAAACAAAAAAATAAATCACTGACTTACTTTTGTAAAGAACCAGAGGTGTTCTTTGCAAGTTAACGCATCAAAGAGAATATCATGTTGCGGGCACAAGCCTAAGCTTTGCCTGACAGCACCAATGTTTTTACAAATGTCAAATCCATTGATAAATGCAGTGCCTTTAGTTGGTGGCATCAATCCTGTTAAAAGTGCCAAAGTGCATTTAGCATTCTACAACATATACAAAGAACAAATTTTATATCTACTGATGAATAGTATCCATTTGTTTAGTTTTTTTAAGCATTATACAACACATATGAAGAACAAACTGCTAAGATTTCATACATAGATCATGTACCAAATGAGGTTAACAAAAGATGCATCAATTTTAAGAATGTGCTGAACATCGTTAAGTCAAAAAAACTTCAGATAGTTTGGACCTGTGACATGACCCAATGGCATACTGAACATGTTCATGCAGTGCTAGTGTCATGGGACAATGGAGGGGGGCGTGGCCTAGCAGTTGAAGAAGAACACTAGATTGGTAACCCAAAGTTTCAAGTTCAAATTCTGGTTCAAGTCAGAAGAAGGTTCTTAAGTCCACCCAGCTCTAATGGGTATCTAGCTCATGTTAGGGAAAGTAAAGGCGGCTGGGCATAGTGCTGATCACACTATCCCTTCATTTGCAGAAGTCACAGAAACAGGTTAATCTTCTTTACTTGCTCCATTTAACTTTCACTTTTGAAAAGGAACATAGTGTTAGGGGATGGGGGGGGGGGGGGGAGGCAGGTAAAAGGTGAGGGAGACAAAGGCAAAATGGTGGGGATGAGGGCAGGGATAAAGTCTAACACATGAGCTAAAATAACATTTTCACCTACCTGTTAAGATGGACATGGTGGTTGTTTTTCCAGCACCATTATGCCCAAGGAGCACTGTTATCTGGCCCTCAAAGATATTCAGATTTACATCAGCCACTGACACCTTGTTACCAAACTCCTGATTACAGTGAAAAATAATTATAAAACTGAGAAAACATACAATATGGAACTATATCAATGTTTTTTGGTTTTTTTTACCTTCTGTGTTAGGATTAAAGATAGTCAAGTTTGGGTGGTTAGGACCAAGATTTGGGCTAGGGCTGTGTTAGGATTAAAGATAGTCAAGTTTGGGGGTTAGGGTCAAGGTTTGGGCTAGGGCTGTGTTAGGATTAAAGATAGTCAAGTTTTGGGGGATTAGGACCAAGATTTGGGCTAGGGCTGTGTTAGGATTAAAGATAGTCAAGTTTGGGGGTTAGGGTCATGGTTTGGGCTAGGACTGTGTTAGGATTAGAGATGGTCAAGTTTGGGGGGTTAGGGTCATGGTTTGGGCTAGGACTGTGTTAGGATTAAAGATAGTCAAGTTTGGGGGGTTAGGGTCAAGATTTGTGCTAGGGCTGTGTTAGGATTAGAGATGGTCAAGTTTAGGGGTTAGGGTCATGGTTTGGGCTAGGACTGTGTTAGGATTAAAGATAGTCAAGTTTGGGGGTTAGGGTCAAGATTTGTGCTAGGGCTGTGTTAGGATTAGAGATGGTCAAGTTTAGGGGTTAGGGTCATGGTTTGGGCTAGGGCTGTGTTAGGATTAGAGATGGTCAAGTTTGGGGGTTAGGACCAAGATTTGTGCTAGGACTGTGTTAGGATTAAAGATAGTCAAGTTTGGGGGTTAGGGTCAAGGTTTGGGCTAGGACTGTGTTAGGATTAAAGATAGTCAAGTTTGTGGGTTAGGGTCAAGGTTTGGGCTAGAATTGTGTTAGGATTAGAGATAGTCAAGTTTGGGGGGTTAGGGTCAAGGTTTGGGCTAGGACTGTGTTAGGATTAGAGATGGTCAAGTTTGGGGGGTTAGGGTCAAGGTTTGGGCTAGAACTGTGTTAGGATTAAAGATAGTCAAGTTTGGGGGGTAGGACCAAGATTTGGGCTAGGACTGAGTTAGGATTAGAGATGGTCAAGTTTGGGGGTTAGGGTCATGGTTTAGGCTAGAGTCAGAGTAATAAAACCAACAAACTCAAAGCTTCAATATAACTTGCAGGTAAATGTATAGAAACATTGAAGCAATAATTTACATAAACTGTACTTTAATAAGATGAGTTTTATTAATTAGTCTAAATTTCTTTAAAGCATGTGATTACAAAACAAGTTGATTGCATCAGAAAAAATAATTATGATAAAACAAAAGATAGTTAAGTTGACAACACTAGTGAAGTTTGGAAGCACTTGCTGTTTTTACAAGTTTGAAAAAACCTTGAACAGAGTTACAAAAGAAATTGGGATAAAAAACAAAACTTCATGAGTTACATTAGTGTGTGCAAAAAAGTCCAATGAAAAAACATTGTTGAAAAGAAATAGGAATAACATACAACATTTTAAAAGTAGAACACACAATACACAAAAGATTGCTTATATTCTGTATTATTCTAAAAATTAATGACTGACCCAACTCAAGGACTAGAAAAACTATAGATATGTCTGTTTACTACTTAATAAAAAAAATGCTTCTTACTTTTCGCAGGTTGACAATGCGAATTCCAATATTCTTGTCAGGTTCTTTCTCAAAATATTTGGGGTCAGTAGTTTGTTCCTCACTTTGATAACTAGTTGGGTCATGGTTTTTACACCAGTAGGACTTCTACATAGGAAAAATACTGTTTAGAGACCTTATCATCAAATAATTACATTTTACATCATTATATTTTGAAGTAAAATAATATGGCCTACATACTAACAAAGTTTTGAAAAAGTATAAAAAAATTTTTTTCTAATTTTTAATTTAACAAAAATTCTCCTTAAACATTTTTCGGCAAGAATGAGAAATCAATAATAAAGTTTAAAATATAAATACTTGTAATTAACTTACGTTTAAGTAAAATTAACAAGAATACGGTACCGTTAGAAAAAAGTGGACAGGTTTAGGCACTCCGTAGTCACCAGGAAAGACATTATCCAAATACCAGGTCAAAATAAGGTGCATCAGTGTATCAATGAGCAGCATCAAAATGCTGTCCTTCACAGTGAAGTCATCGTTCGCAATTGGTTTGTCAAAATTATTCCACTGAATTCCCTCCTCTGAAAAATTAATAAAAATAATTTTCACACTTGTAAAATAATGTTTTTTTTTTTCAATACTTGTAACAGAAATCAGAAAGGCCTAACTAATAAAGGCGGCTGGGCATAGAACTGATCACACTATCCCTACACATGCCGAGGACCCTGAAACAGATGAACTCTTAATTCATCTGCCTCATGTCTTGGGCACTAACAGGAAAAGAAAAGATGATGATGATTATTTTAAGCTGGTTTCACTATGTTTAAACTAACACTGACCATAATTAGTAAGCTATCTGAAACAGTAAACTTTATAGTAACACTAACAGATGCTGGAACTCAAGTGATGAACAAAATATCTACAAAATCTAACTTAGAGGACTTAAAACTATTGGAAAGCCTACACACAAAATAATACAAAAAAAGAACCATTTAAACAGCAAAGACAGGCCTTTACTATAAAAGTCAAACGGTGTATGCTTTAGGTTACAAACCTCTAGCTTCTCTCCGAGCTATGTTGTAGTTGGACAAACCTAGAGCAATGTTGAATAGTAGACACGATGTGAACTTCACTACATTGGTAAAGGTGTAGTATTTCTGACTTATGATCTCATATGGGACATACTCCGCAAGGAAAAGTAAACCAGCTATTATTGCGCCATCACTTCCTGAAATTATTCATAGGATAAAAATAAATGGCAAGTAAATCATTGCTAAGAAAACTTCCAGAAATTATTTTAAACATTGTAACACTCAACTTTGTTAAAATCCATTCATAACACAGGTTAACTTAAATATATATTTTATATACATATAAATTATATTATACATGGATAAATGTGACTTATGTAACAGTGTTCCTTTCAAACACTTCATTAAATTGAAGAAAATGAAACAAACTTAATTTACGGTTTGACTTTTTCAAGCTTCTATTTTATAAACCTGAATCTTAATTTAACTCGTAGAATGATACTATGCATTTGTTGGCTTAAATATAGGACTATAACCATAAATTATATATAAAAGTAGTGTTTTATACAAATAATTAATCTAAAGATTTTATATTCTATATTTAATAACATTTATTAAAACATTAAAAATCAAAGAGAACAATAAAACATTAAAAATCAAAGAGAACAATCAAAACAATTTTTTTAAATACTGCAACTGTGAAAAATAAATTACAAAATAAATATACTTTTTTACAAAGTGAATAAATATTATTACATTGAGAAGTTCAAATATTCAGTCATGATTAAAAAACAACATCATGGTTAAAAAAAATTTGAAAACTATAACAGACAAATTGTTTTTTCAATATACGAACTTAAATGCCAACATCCTCTAGTAATAACAACAAAATCTGTAACTTAAAAAACATACGCTTCACACACCTTTCTGCACCAAACAAGTGACCATAAAGGAGAATGAGATGAGCGCTAGCCCGTACGATATAAGCAACGTAAAAACAACTAAAGGATCACTGTACTTTAGAATAGGGCCTTTCCCTGTTAAATCAACACCTAATGCTATTGTGTAGAAAACTATAGCTGGGACTATGCATATTAAGTAGGTGATGAACCACGATAACCAAAAAGCTGTCAGCTTCATCCCCATTAATTTCATTGTTTCCTATTGATGGCAAATAAGTTAATGGTTGATAATAATCGATTAAATTGTATTATATATATATATATATATATATATATATATATATATATATATATATATATATAAATGTATATGTATAAACTGCATAGGTTTGAAGTGAGAGTGATAGACTGATTTCTACTTCTGAAGGTTTTTTCTAATATGGCATAATAATATCAGTAATATTTTTTTTTTTGAAAAATTAATAGCTTGAAAATAGTTTTATAAGTTAAAATTGACAATTGTGTGAAGCATAGTGCACAAATGATAATCTGAATGTCTCAAGTTAAGTTTCCAGACTCATGTCTCTAGTGTAACACTGAGACCATCAAATCTGAAGGGTGCCTAGTAGTATCCATACATTCATTTGCTGAGGTCACAGAAACAGGTGAACTCTACTCTATCAGTTACAAAAGTGTAACTTTTTTTATATGTCATTGTTAGAACATATTTTTCATTTTTTAAAAGCTAAGTTCAAAAAGTTATAGTGTGTTGAATTTCTGTTGTACAGTTATATATCTTTATTTAACATATTTATAAAAAAATTATAGTCCAAATAGCTCACCTTAATCTTCAGTTCTTTTTCACTAACGATATTTTTGGTGTAGACAAAAACATTCATCATAAACCCAAGCACCATAAAGAGGCTCAGCTGTAATTTAATTGTCATATACATTCCGTCGACATAGTGTTGGGCCAATGGAAAGCGCTTTGCCAACAGTTCAAAATTGGCTAAATCCTTGCTTTTGTTGCTGCTTTTTAACCAATGGGCCAAAATGGCTTTGTTCACCAGAGATTGAGTAAAGGCGAAATCCTGGTCAACTGAAAAAAATAAATAAAATCTCAACAAATAGACATAAACGTTTAAAATGAGTGTATTTATAATAAAATACATTTTATGGAAATGACATAACTAATGAGTTTTCAACAAAAGCTGATTTGAAAATGCATTCAAACAACTTATGTGTAATGATTAAAATTCTAATTATTAATGTTTTAGATTTTAGAAAATGATACTGAAAAAGAAAGAGCTTGATTATAATGGTGCTAGTTGACCAGTTTTATAATATATTTTAATAACAAAAAATAAAGAGTATTTCAAATCACTGATTCACAGAGATTTAAAACAAATAAGAACTTAAATTTAATAGCAACAGTGTTTTTTTTAGTAAGAAGCCAAATCACTGAACTTACATTGAATAAAAGACCTAGAATTTATTTGAAACTCTAACATATGTACTCGATCTGTGGTCCAGGAATTCAAAGCTTTTCTGTAAGGGTGTAATATTACTGTAACGTTGTTGGGTAGCAATTTAGTTGATACATCAAGGCCAACAAACTCTATAATAAGATTCATAGGCTTATCTGTGATAGTATAATAGTTTAAAGCCGAATGAATTGTTTCAAAGCCTTTGGAAGCTGTGGAGAAAAATAAATTGTGTGCTTTAAAAGAATACATTACAGATTTTTTCATTAATATATCTAAAATAAACAAAATGATCTGATTGTGATGCACTAAAACTAATATTTAAAAAAAAAAAAAAAAAGAAGCTTTTTTTAATACCCTAGTAAAAGCATTGGTTGCTAAAAATGTGTTAGAGATTTATGAGCTGCCAACACTTCAACATCATAAAATTTGTTTTATTTTTTTATTTTTAAATGCCTTTTAAAAGCTTGAATCTAATAATTATTTTATTTTCAAAGTTTCATTTATTAAATACAATGAAAAATAACCCTGGGAAATATTGGGCAGATGAAGAAGAGTTCACCTTTTTCAGTCTTCTGCATATAAAGGGATAGTGTGGCCAGTCACTGTTATTTTTCTTCAGTAGTCAGATATTCAACAGAGCAGCAAGGACTCCGCCACGTTCAGTCAAGCCCCTGATCTTAACTAGAGTTTAGGGATAGCTGTAGAATGCTCTAACATCCGACCATGGATGAAAAAGCTTTAAAGGCTATCAGCATCTTGTGATCTTCACACAATAAACATAATCTGCCCCTTTTTATTGTCTGTGGGTAGCTTTCAGATATAACAACATCAATAATCACATTCTGTCTCAGCCACTTACTGATACAGTGATCACAACTGATTATTCCTGTTATCTCCACTTTTGTTAAAGACCATCCTAATTGACTTCATTAATTTCTTATTAGAATAGAAAATTAGATATATAACATCTTAAATTCTTTGTGGCCACTAGCTGGTGCCTGATTAAAAGTTGTTAGTTTTCTCTTTCAAACCTGACGATCTATAGGGCAAGTGAAGTAGAGTTCTCTTAGTTCTGTGACCTCGGCATATGATTATGAAGAGATAGTGTGGTTAGCACTATGCCCAGCCACCTTTACTACCGTGAGTTAGGTACCCATTAATCCAACAATGCTCATATAAATTTTAAGAAATTGTATTTATTACGGACAGTAGATAAAGTTTATTTTTTTCTTTCTGTATTGTATTTTTCTGTAGCTAAATATAGAATAAAAAGCTTAGTGTACCTTGACAAATTTATGGCCTTAGAATTACACAATTACACTGCCAATAGATGTAATTTACAATCATACAATTATTGTTAACAAAAATATTCCATCAAAATTACTTGTTAACTTACTTGATGCAGTTGCATTTTTTTGTCCGAATAATAAGTAATATTGCTTCTGAGTATTAATAATCCATTCAGTTACTTCCTTGGTTGCAGAGTTTTCAGGAACATAACCTATTACTGATGGCGGATTGTGCCAGAACAGAGGCTGAGCATTGAAAGTTTCAGTATCAAAATAGGTTAAAGTAGATGATTTCTTCAAAATTAAAAGAATAATTGTAAATACAGAGGGTAGTAGAATCTCCCCAAATGTCATGCACAGACTTCTCTTTTGCAAAGTGAAGTTTTTCCATATTAGCAAAGACACTTGGGTAAAAAACATTGCTGTCACCGTTCACTGAATCTGAAGTACAAAACAAAAAGAAAGAATATTAACCCTTCATCTACTGACGGTACTTATAAGTACCACTTTAATTAAGTGCCTGTATTATTTTTAATTTACTATGAATTTTAAAAATGGTAGATGTAATCAGTGGGGTAGCGAGGTCGGGTTTCATCCAGTGCGGCACTTAATGATGTCACCCCCCCAGAGGCGTAGCACCCAAATTTTCTATTTGAGCCCCCCCCCCCCCCCCCCCCACCCCTCAAACTTTCAATTTGCACCCCTCCCTCAAGTTTTTCTCTATATATTTTACTATTTTTTGCCTTGGTGTCACCCGGCGCGGTCCGCAACCCCCCCCTTCGCTACGCCTCTGGATGTAATTAATAGTATTATCTCTCCTGAGTTGCCGGTAGTTGGAGGGAAAATTTCTGGTGTGGCGCAGTTTTCAATTACTTGCTGTATCGGTAGTTTACAATTATTCTGTACAGTTCTCATACATGTTCTTGATTTCCCTTTGTTTTACCTTATTTTTCAAGTTTTCAACGCCAAATATTTTTGATTGGCATCTTCAATAGTCAGGCAAATGCGTTTAACTTCTAGTTATACAATTTTAATCATATTGTCTTTGTATTAGATCGATGTTTACAATTACCGTCAGGGCACATGGTCATTTTTTTAGGATTTCTAGGAAATGGCAGATTTTCGATGTGGAGTGACATAAATATTATTTGAACAATTAATTATCGAAATGTACTCAAAAAAAGATATTTACACATTTATAAGAAGGTTAGCATATGGTTTACCTAAGAAATATTGTAATTACATGTTGATTTCTAGTAGTAAAAGAATAACAAGAATAACAAAAAATAACTAGGTTTAGTATACTTCATTTGTATACTAAAGTCTAGTTCTAGTAGTAAGATTTAATTTGTTAGTTATATTTACTGCAATAAACTGTCTTGCCTACAATAACTAGCTTTTATGTAATGTATACCTGTAGACTAGTAATAGTCCATGCTTCTGCATATAGTATAGATCAATATGGTAAATTTTAATCAGCAAACAGAAAACAGTAGGCAACTTTGGCTATCCTCAACACATTGAGCTCACTTCTATTTATGAACTTTACACTGTAGTGTAGATCTAGACTTGTCATAACATTCTAGTAGGCTACAATTATGCTAGTATTACTAGTTGTCGTGTACTGAATGACTAGGCATTTGTTTGTTTATGCGGATGCTTGTAATAGCTATTGGAAGCTTTCAGCAAAAGCATGTTCAGTCCGGCAAATGCTGCTATCCCAGAAAGACCACAGACAAGAATGAGGGAGCATGACATGGTGGCAAATTTTGCTGTGTTTGAGGTCTAACTAAGACGAGAAAATCAAGTAAAAATTGTACTCAAAATATAATTTTGTGCTGTATTTATGTGTGAAATTTACAAAAAATGATTGTTATAATGATTGCCATGTTATTAGTTAATAAATTGTGTCGTTTATTCCTATTTTGTAAATTTTTTTTTAGAAAAAATGTCCTACATTCCTGACGGTGTTTGTAAGTACCAATATATGTTTAGGCCATTAAAATTTTATGAAACAAAATTTACTTCGACATATGCTTTAAGTTGGCCAAAAGCAATATGATAACACATTGTTTAAGAAAAAATTTCATTCAGAACCTAATTCCGTAAATAAAGGGTTAATAAAGTATAAATTACTAATCTATATATATAATTCTCTTCTGGGAGACGCTAGAAAACAAGCTGTAAACGCGCTCCCTACCACCAGTGTTCCCTCTAAGCTGCGCGGCCGCGCAGTACTATCAAATGTGCCGCGCAGACATTTTCTGACCCCGCGCACAGATTATCAGAACGTTGGGCGAGCCTAATTCACTAAAAAAATTGTGGCCAGTGGTTTGAATTAAGCGACATTTTTAGTGCCTGTTTTGTTAAACGAACAGTCTTTGTGTTTTGGGGCATAAACCACAGCTATCATTGACTGGGGGGGGGGGGGGGGGGGGGGGGGAGTGACCTCGGTTGTCATACCACAGGTCCAGTTAATGACTTAACTCTAAATTGAGCGGGGCGGGTACCGATGTGATGTCTGGGTGACCCTCCCTCTGCTTGATTTAATGGTTTACTGACCGTAGCGGAAAGGTATAGCGGCTACTAGCTGACCATGCAAGGTTTTATTTTCTATTGTCACTGCCCTCCCCAATCTCCCAACCCCCACCCACCTCCTGATACTATGACGGTTTACCCAAGTCAGATGCAAAATCTACTTTACTAAAGGTGGATGTGTTTTTACTCTGTTTGGTTTAAGGATTTATACACTATATATCCAATTCTTGGGATTATTACGTGCACCTGGATCGAACTGTTTCAGTGATAACAAACTGGTTTGGTAAATAAGGAATAAAAGTTTACTACCCTGTGCTATTTGAAAATGTTGAAAAGAAAAATGTGTGTAACAAGCAGTACAACAATATGGCACCAAAAAAAAAGCGATAGATTCGTTTACACTGCAATGGCTCAAAGTTAAAGTAACAACCGATAAACCAGATCAAAGAATGTTTCGGTTGAATTAGAAAGCATCTACAAATATTCAGATGAGATTGGACTGAAGTGTAAGTTCTGTGCTGCTACTACTTGTAACAAAACCAACAAGAGCAACGAATTGGTCACAGGAAAGCTCTGGGAATCATGGGCGCTTGACTACTGTAAACGTCATTTATTGTCTCGTGTTTACGTAGGAAATGTTGCGATTTCGTACAACAGCTCACATGGAACTGACCTTAAACGTCTGCTGGTTGAAACTTACACTGAGCGAGGAGTACTAATTGAGCAAAACGAGCGCCAGTGTGCAAACGAGGATCAAGTTCGAATCGTAACGGATAATGTTCTTTTTACCATAAGGATGAACGCCTCGATGCTGACGGTACAACTTATTCATAACCACATGGGGAAGTATGTTTCTATACCAGACAGTTGGCGAAGTAAGAAATACGCCTTTGAGTTTGTTCACGTAATCAACGAAATTGTTGTAACGAACATACTGACAGAACATCGAGCAGCATCATTCCACACGCTTATAGTTGATGGCATAACAGTACATAAAATTTAATGCTAATCCTTTTTTTTAAATTTTGTCCAGTCTATTCTGTATTCTACAAAACCGTTTTTAGTGGAATAACTCAGCTTACTGTAAGTGATGCCTTAGCTCTGGAGACAGCCGTAACACAGCACTACACTGAACATTAAAGCCAAGAAAAGTGGGAGTTAAACGAAAGAAGGCACAAGGCAAACCACACAACAATGTTAGGTTTCCAGGAGATGAACTGCAGTTTTTGTCCTCTTTTTTTATGCTACAGGTTTAAAAAAAAGTGCATTTGAGTTCGGCGTCAAAGATATCAAAGAACTGTGCGTAAAGTACAAAGACCGGTTACGTACAACAAATGATCAGTTAATTACCACCCAATACAACGACTTCAAATTTCGATAAAGTGAAAAACTCAAATCTGTTTCTGTAAATTATATATCTGAATATGCAAGATTTGTCAAAACAAAGAACAAAATTTAGCTCACTGGCAAAGTTAAGTGACATTATTGTACTAAGCATGCAGTGCTGATTACGAACAAGGTTTTAGCCTTATTAACATAATAAAAGTGCAAGTACGAAATAGACTTGAAGCCACACATTTGGAGAATCTAATGCAAATTAAATTATATCTAAATGCTGGAGAGGATGTGGATTTAAACAAAGCATATAAGGTGTGGAAGCAATGCAAGGTTAGAATCGAGTAATTGCAATAAATGCCCATGATAGGTTAGCTAATATTTGTTTTTAAGTCAGCTTTATTAAATGTTGCATATGCTAAACTATTGTGTTTGTATTACCGTTATGGTATTAGCATTATTACCATATGACTGTCTTACTTTAACATAGTAAGTCGACCATATAACTTGTTGTCTGAGTATAACTCTGAAAGTTTTTAATAGTTTTTTTTTTTATTTTGATGGTATTCGTATCTCCATTTAATTGCATACGTTTCATTAGTCACACACATTATACTATTAATTTATCAAAATGCATGCCTTCATTATTATGCTTAATTGCAAGACTAAAAATACATATTAACTTGCCCAAGTCATTTTTAGCACCGCGCACACAACATATTTTTTGCACACACACTCTTGGTCCTTAGAGGGAACATTGCCTACCATCCCCATCCCTACATGGTCTTAGTGAGCTGTGTTCACTCTAAATGTTTACAAGCACAGCCAGGTTTAGTGACGACTATTAGGGGGCAGATATTTTAGTTTGAAACGATTTTAAACGTGGGGGGGGTGGGGGGGCGGAAAGGGGGGGGGGGGTTATGGTCCTTAACGTGCTACTTATAGTGTTTTAAAGAAATATTTTCAGTGGCAGCGTTGGTACCGTCAAATTCACAAATTATGAATTACTGAAAAGTAGAAAAAACAACAACTAAGTAGCGGCGTATGTTATGCCGCGGGCAGGCTAGTTGGTAATAAATTAGTAATTAGTATATTAATATAGAGAATCTAGTATATATTTAATAATATTATTAATATTAATAGTACAAGAAGACTTAATAAGAGTATAAGACAGTATTATTATAATTATATTATATGACAATAGTAGAGGTAATCTATCGTTTTAGGTACGTAAAATCGCCCACGACTTGTAATGTTAATGTACCAAAAAGCTAGATCTAGATCTAGATAATCTAGATCTAGATCTAGATTCTAGATCCTAGATTTAGAATCTAGATCTCTAGATCAAGATCTATAGTGTTTAATCTAGATATCTAGATCTAGAAATCTAGATGCTAGATCCAGATCTGGAATCTAGATCTAGATCTAATCTAGAATCTAGATCTAGAATCTACCAGACTACAACTATAGACGTCTATAGTCATAGTCTAGATTTAGATCTAGATTACTACTAGAGTAGTACTAGATTCTAGAGTCTACTTAGAGTCTACTAATTATTTAATTATTTATTTTTTGGTAATCTATCGTTTTGGGTACGTAAAATTGCCCGCGGCTTGTAATGTATGAAAAAGTTACCTCATTGTCAAGGCTTTAATTAACTTTAATAGAAGTAGATCTAGAGTAGACTATATTGTGATATGTTTGTGTCAAATATTGTAGATCTAGATAAATGAATAATAAACCTAAAACAATTACAATGGCTAAATTAGGCTAAATATATAAATATGGGCCAGAAATTAACTTTAAACAGCAGTGTTTGCGAGCAAGATTTGCTATATATTAGGGTAAAGGAGGGCGTTAAGAGCCGTGTGGTATTAAGCCCCAATCAACACCCCACCCCCACAAAACCCCCAATAACACTGCTAATCTACTTCTGAGGTAACAACCACTGCTATTCTTTGATAACAGAGAAGCAGAGGATTCATTTTATGTAATTTATGACCCACTTGGTCCAATAGGGAGAGGATGAGACAGGATTTAATCCCACTGCTCTTTCCCTAAAATTTCTCATCTCCATAAAACCGTTTTGTGAACTTTTTTTCCAAATAGACATAACTTGGGAAACTTCACTTTGTAATAAACCAAATGAGTTTTTCAAGCCCATTCTTTGTTCCTGTATTAGAGTATTGGTTGTTGTACATTTTAACACAATTTTTATAGCTATGGCTAGAAAAGTTTTATTTTGGTGAATTTTTTTTGCACAGTGATTATTGGTGCCAAAACAAAATGGCCGACATTAGTCCCATTTTACCATGCTATAAAGTTTTTATCATTATCAGAGTAAAACTTGACTGATCATTACCATAATGGTTTTATTTGTTAGATAATAACTAAATCTACATGAATACATTCATTTTGTTCACTAGCTTGCCTGTTTAGAAAAGTTATAACAGATACTGTTATGTGGCTCTTGAAACCCTATGTGCAAGTTTCTCATTTATTAGACCACTGAATATGACACTGGTATAGGAATAGTTAACACAAAATGTATTAATTGTTAAACAGACTTGTGTCTAAATGATAGAAATACTATTCTAACCTGCTAAAAAGTAAAAATTCAGTCATCTCATGTTAGCAAGGTAATTTTTAAAATGGTATGAGTACTTATTACCCCTAAGGGGCAATACAGCCGACTCAGCCCCCACCTGTTTCTAACCAACCATAAAACTTCTAATCTCTTTGTAGGTAACAGGAATAAATGTTCTTAGGTCTCAGCCAATCTGGGGTGGTATGTTATGTAATTTATGACCCTCATGGTCCAGCATGGAAGTAAACAGACACATTAATACCACTGCTCCCCCCCCCTTACAATTTCTTACCCCCATGATACCCAGCCCCCACCAGTTTCTGGCCCACCATAAAACGTCATCTCTTTGTAGGTAACATGGATTACAGTTACAGATCTCTGTGGTGGCATGTTATGTAACATATGACCTTCATGGTCTAGCAGGGTGGAGACCAAAGAGGAATCAGTACCACTGCTCTCCCCTCACAATTTCTCACCTCCATGATCTAACCCACCATTAAACTTCATCTCTTTGTAGGTAACATGGACTAAGTTCTTAGATCTCAGCCAACCAGAGATAGCATCTCCTTATGTAATTTATGGCCCTCAGGGTCCAGCAAGGAGAAAAAAAGGGGAAACCAGTACCACTGCTCTCCCCTCACAATTTCTCACCTCCATGATACCCAGCCCCCACCTGTATCTAACCCACCATAAAACTTATCTCTTTGTAGGTAGCATGGACTTAGTTCTTAGATCTCAGCCAACCAGAGATAGCATCTCCTTATGTAATTTATGGCCCTCAGGGTCCAGCAAGGAGAACAAAGGGGAAACCAGTACCACTGCTCTCCCCTCAACATTTCTCACCTCCATGTCATGTTATGTAATGTATAGCACACATGGCTTATCAGGGGAAAGCATTAAGGCAGATTAGTTAGTACCACCCCTTTTTACATGCAAGAATGTTAACTCTGGACAGCTACACACTAGTATACTAGCTACACACTAGGCATACTAATGTGCCTACTGTAAACTACTTGACTTTAGGCCCTATGTACACCTGTAATTGTATCAATTGTAGACTGGGCCCATTGGGGCCTAGTGATAGCTAGTATCAGTTAAAGTGTGTGTACACAGCATTAACTATTTTGGGGTTAGAAATTAATTATTTTTATTGAGGAGTTAGTCTAAACTAGGAGATAATACTTATTGCCCCATTGCCCGGCTCCTTTCACCCCAAATGCTGATTTCGGGGGTATGACAATAAATGTTCAATTAAACCCATTTAAAGTATATTTAATAGACTTTGTTATTATTTTTATATTGTGTAAGATATGTTAGAATAATTTTGCCATATTTTCAATACTAAAAAATTCTTAGATTAGTAGAAATCTTTAAAAATGTACAGGTGCTAAAAAGTGTGGCTCTTAACGCCCTCCTTTACCCTATATAAACAGCAGCCATTTGTAAAATAGAGTGACTTCCCCCTGAATTTCCCGCTATAAGTTAAGAAAAAAACTTAAACAAGATGGCTGTATAGTACTGTACCGTATAGTAAATGAGGATGGTTAAATCTGTTGGAAACATCGCTAGTCTTCTTTTATTACTGAAAAGTTTTAATTCAATTTGTTTAAAAATAGGTACATAAATGAAACATTTTTGTATTTTTCAAAATATAGATCTAAATCATCCTCAAAATGTGAAATAATTATTAAAATTTAAGAAGTCACCTGTTTTTCACATTACTAGTCGCGTACCGGTACCCAAAACGATAGATTAATAATAATAGTATTAGATTCTAAATACTAGTGAATTACACTAGATTACCTATTTTTTTACTAGATTCTATTTACTATTTACTATTTACCTTCTAATATGTAAAGTTACAGACTTTAGCTGGTTTAAGGCCGTCGACGTTTTAAATGTAGAATCTAGACTACATAACATATAGATTATAGACTTAGATCTAGATTCTAGTCTAGTCTAGATCCAGATCTTGAGTATTTCATAATTTCAACAGAAGAAAGCGATATTAAATTTTCTTAAATTAGTTTCGCCGCTAAGATTTTTAAATCAGCCAAGGTAATGAAAAAAGTAAACTTCTCTAGCCTAACTGAGAAGAATCTTTTATTATTTCTAGATCTAGATCTAGAATCTAGTCTAGATCTATACAATCGTACTCATAAATATTTCTTAAAAAATCGTAGATCTAGATTTAGTACAGTCTTAATAAATCCAATATTTAGAATTATAGATTAAATCCATAGTACATAAATATAGCTTTATTATATAAATTTAATAGTTATGATAAAACAATTAAAGCAATTATTTATTTTACGCTATGCATGATGATATATTATATGCATTATATAGAATAGATCTATATGGTGCACCGTCAAAACGGCCCGGGACAAATCGGCGCCGTCAAAACGGCCGCGTTTACATGACCCCGTCAAATCGACCCCTGGTAAAAAGACCCAGTCAAAATAGCCCCATCAAAAGGGCACCGACTTATTGACGTCGAAAGGGCTCCCGATATTTAGGCTCCCGACAAATGGACTCTCGACATATTGGCTCCCGACAAATAGGCCCCGGACATATTGGCTCCCGAGAAATGGGCTCACGACTCACGACATATTGGCTACCAAAATCCGACCAAAAACAACAAAATAATTTTTAATTAAAAAAAAACAACAACAAAAAACAGAAAAACTAACCGATTTACCCCAGTAGTGATTGTTATGTAGCACAGCGGTGCAAAAATAAATTCTTACATGGGCTGTAGTGTGAGAGACTGTCAAAGCTCCTCCTTTAGTAGTCTACTAGGGGTGCATAAAAAGCTCATTTAAATAGTTTTGCATGCACCTAACATAATAAAAAACGATTTATTCTCTGAACTATTATTAAAATAATGGCATACTAAATAAAGAATGACACATCTATAAAAAGGAATGTATTCAAAAGTATTAATAATATATTAATATATATGAAAAAAACAACAACAAAAGCTTTTAAGAGCTATGTTTATGTTTTAAAGCTTCAAAGTTTCCATCAGATGAACACACATATTTTTTTTAAATCAGTTTAGAAGCAAGCTGCTAAATGTGTTATATGTTTACCTTTATGTATAGTCTTTAACTGAGCCGAATCCGGGCGTCCTTCGGTGCCCTGACAGAGTGTTTTTCGGCGTCCAGGGTCTTCCCGTGTTCGCTATGGCGCCTACGTTCGTTTACGTTAGCGCATAGGACTAAGAATAAGTTGGGGTACTATAGTCGTTTACTAAGTTGAATCAGGCGGTTCCGCATTGTGTGATTTGGCACCCCGGACTAGAACGTGAGCACTTTCCGTTTGTTTGCGTTTTTGTTTTCTTTGTGTTTGGGTTTGTGGTTGGGTTTGTGTTTGCATTTGGGTTTGGATTTTTTTTCGTTTGCTTTTTTGTTTGCGTTTGTGTTTTCTTTGTGGTTGTGGTTGTGTTAGTGTTGGCCTTTTTTTTGTGTGTGTTATCGTTTGTATTTGTGTTTGTGTTATGTTTGCGTTGACATACTTCAATGGATTAAAGTGTTAGATAATAAAAGTCCTTATGGTCTAAATTTATGAGTTAAAAAAATTAATATTGAAAGTTTTGGGAAATGATTTTCATTTATCAAACTGAAAGTAATAATTTTCGGCATGTTCATTAAACACAAGTTTTAAAAAAAATATCAATTTTTAAAAAAATTCTAATTATGTCTTTATTTAGTCCTTTAGCACTTACTTCCCTTTGATAAATTAGGAAAACACAATTACTTCCCTTTATAAAACCATTGCATTAGTGGAAAAGAATTTACTTTTTATTACTTTGTTTTGGTGTTGGGAAAAAAAATAATTACATAATTAGCGGGGATTGATCAAGTGCAAATGTTGTAGGTATTTTACGGATAAGCTTGGAGTATTATAATTGTTCATTAAATTGAAACGAGCGCGTTCGTTTAAGTGAGTGCAAAAGACTATGAATAAGTTGGGGGTACTATAGTCGTTCATTAAGCTAAAACAGGTGATTCCGCCCCGGGCGTTTATGTTCGCGTTAGTGTTTTCTTTGTGTTTAGGTGGGTTTGCGTTAGTGGTTGCGTTTTGATTTGGTTCGTTTTTGTTCTTTCTTTTTTCGTTTTTGTTTGCGTTTTTTCTTTGGGTTTGTATTTGTGTTTTTGGTTGGTTTTGCGTTTGGATTTGGTTTGTTTTCGTTTGCTTTTTCGTTGTTTTTTTGTGTTGGTATTGGTGTTTGTGGTTGTGGTTGGGTTTGTTGTTAGGTTTTTGTTTTCGTTTGTATTTGTAATTGTGTTAGCGTTATGTTTGCGTTTTGTTGTTTTGGTTTTGGTTGGTTGTGGTTTGGGTGGGCAATGCCGGGTTTATGATGATTACTAAACACACAGGTAATGGTCTTTAACAGAAAGGTTTTTCACAGAAGCCAGAGCAGGGCCTGGCCGGGACGGCTAGTATAATTATAAAGCCACTATTTTCTTCTGCTGTTCGACTCTTTTTTATTGATGTTTAAATCAATGTTAGCTCTTAAACGTACCCTACAGTACGCTAGAAACGTTCTTATTGACAAGCGTATATACTTTAAAAACATATCAATGTAACAATAGTTTTTTAAAGCATTCTTAACGCTATTTTATTATTGTCCCATAATAATAATATAATATTAATAATTAATTATAAAGAAAATATGTATTGCTGAAATTAACTATTTAGAGCAGTGCGATATGTAGTTCACAATTATGGGATCTTATAGCCTACACATTAAATTACACACTGATATTTACTCAACAACATTAGGTGTTTTAGGTGGTAAATTTAAATTACATTAGTTCTCCATAACGTTTCTATAAATCCACCCTCTTCAAAAAATACACCTCAAAATAAAGCTATGATATTTAGAAAACAAGCTTAAGAAAATCATTTTTATTTAAAACAAAAATTCGAAACAGTCGTAAAAGTTTTATTTATTCCAAAAAAAAAAAAAAAATTGGGAAGGTTGTATGTAGAATCAAATAGAAAAAGAAAGAACATTTCAGTTTCTACTCTGGGAGCTTTTAACAATAATGTTTTAGCATTAGCAAAAAAAAAAATAAACGTATATGAATACGTCGTCATTTATGTATTGTTATATTTTGCAACTATAAAATAATTCTTTCGAAAAAAAAACACACAACAAACGGAAACAGAGTAGTTATAACATAATTACCATACTTAAGTACGTCAGCGAATTACAATTTTTAATGATATACCCGATGGTAAACGACCAGTTTAGAATAACATAATGTAGGACTTAGGAAGGGGAATTTCTTTATTTCACTGTGGATAGTTTTACTGTGCGTTATGTAATTAAATCACAATTATGCCAATTAGGTAGACTATTATTATGCCTCTGATGGTACCGAACATTTTACTAACTACATTTAATTAAATGATTCTTTTAATTATACATTTTATATCTAAATATTAAACAAGACGTATCATACTGTACTTGATGAAAGGTATATTGAATGAAAATTGATGTTTAACTAAACTTAATATTCGCAATTTTTAAAAAAAAGGACCTTTTAAAATAAAAGCTTGATGTATTTTGTGAATTTGAAGACAAATGTGTATCATAATAATATGCGTTTAAGACACTGCTTTAAAAAAGGAATAAACTTATGAAGTATTATTTTAAAAACTTAACTTAATTAAAATCCTAACGAAACAGCATCGGGGTTGCCAATACTAAGACTAATACTAAGTCTTATTATTTTGAAGGTTTTGATTGCACCTTTTAAATTAATTTCCTAAACCATGCCACAGACAAACCAAAGCATGCACAATTCTGAAATAAAAGTTCCAGATATCCCTGTAGAGGCTGCTAACATCATTAGTTTTTTTTATCAACCTTTTCCTGGTTCCAATTTTAAGTGTTTTCGGAATCCTGGGAAATTCTGTGACGATCGTAATAATGACGACAAACGGGTTTCACAACCCAACAGATGTCGTTTTGACAGGACTGGCAGCGTCTGATTTATTGTTCTCAGTCACCCAGGCATTGTTTCAAGTCGCGTCTTTTATTTACATGTTTGATATATACGCAACAATGACGTATTTTACGTACTTTTATCTTTATATTTATTACTGGAACCAAGTTTCAATGTTGGTTAGTGTCGAACTTGTCACAATCATCGCAGTAGAGCGGATGCTAGCAGTGTGGTTCCCGTTTCACGTCTCCAGAATACTCTCACCATTTCGTATGAGTTGCCTGGTTGTGTTCGTGTTTCTTGCTATACCAGTACTTGTCGTTCCTTTTACCGCTGCTATGCAATACGGAGAGACAACAATTGACGACACCAATAGAACTGTTGGAATTTTTTTCTATACAGAGTATTATTTAAATAATATAGACTCTTTTAACATCTACCGCAATTACTTTTTACTTTTCGTTACTGCGGTATTCCCATTTCTTGCAATTATATGTTGTTCGTTGTTAATAATAATAAAACTTATAATCTCTTCAAGAAAATTTACGAACAAATTTTCTAACTCTTTAAAAAGAGTGAAAGATCTAAAATCTGTAAAAGTGACGTTGATAATGTGCTGTAGCTTGATGCTGCTGGTCATTGTACCAATCAACACTGTGGACATCTACTTTGTGATGGTTGGCCATTTCCCATTCGGGGAGAGGGCCCACTCTATCATTATTTCCCTACTGAAAGTAATTTTACAAGTCAATGCTTCTAGCAATTTTATAATCTATGTCACCAGTAACTCTAAATTTACAAAAACGTATCGTAAAATATTTGGTAATTGTTAATTGAAATGACATGGGTGGATTAAATTGTGGTCCTCTAAAAATTCAAAAACAAGTTATTCTTATTAAGTCAAGTTAATAACAATAAAATAATGCAAAATTAAAACTAAACTTATTTGAAGTTAA